AGACAGGAAGCCAAGTGCAAATGAGATGCTCAGACCAGAGTGTTTAACACAGTGGCTCTATAGGAGGACAGATCTGGCCATTCAGCTTCCCTCCTTCTGGGGACAGGTGGCAGTGTCTGGAGACATTTTCACAGTGATAACGGAGGGGAATGTGCTGCTGGCTTCTGGTGATTGGGCAGGGTCCAGCCTCCCATAACGCACAGGACAGCTGCTAGCAGCAAAGGATTCTCCAGGCAGGTGTCAGCAGTGGTGCGGCTGAGAAAGCCTGGTTTTAGCACTTGGCGGTGACGCCCACTACTACCTGTTCTTGCCACAGGACGCAGCTGGCAGCCACTGCCCAGGACCTGGTCACAGTGGTATTGTTGCAACTTGCTCCCCAGCATGTCAGTCCTCTTGACCTGTGGCTTGACTGACGGGCTCCCATCAGGGATGGGATCCTGGTCAGTGAAAAGTGGGGAGTGTATTAGCTCTGAGCCCCCGAGCCATGTTGGTGGCCTGACGTGGTTATGGCACTGAGGGTGTAATGCCGGGTGGCGGTAAGCAGTGCCAAGGCTTTCTTGGCAGTACCTTTATGATGGTGTGAGTTTTATTAAACACTCCTAGAGTGTCTGGCAAATGCGGGAAACAGTGAATTAATATTGCAAACTAATGTTTGTGGTCTAATTGTCCTGAAATTGATTCTTGCGCATGAGAATTTATTTGCTGCTCAGACTGGACCGTGTCCCCGTATCTAATACCGCCGGTGTTTTGAAAACCTGCTGACTGACATAGAAAATGATGTGCATGATCACGCGTGGGTTCAAATGGCTTTCCCTTGTTGCTGCTGAAATAATTCATCTTTCTCTAGTACAAGATATGGAGCAGTTTTATGAACTCTGGCTAAAGAGTCAAAAAAATGAAAAAAGTGATGATGTAGCCAGTCAGTCAAACAAGGAAAATGGAAAGCAGATTCACATGCCGACAGATTATGCTGAGGTCACCGTAAGTACCGAGGGCCGTTTCAGCCCCACTCGGCCTGGCAGTGGTCGAGAGGAGTCCTTTTCTTTCCTACCTTTTCAAAACCCGACTCCATTTCCTGCTGCCTGCCCTGCTCTGGGGCCATCTCCTCTCCTCAGGAGTTTCCTGCCATTAGCTTAAGTCTCCTTGGGCCAGAACTTCCTTGTCTCAGTCCTTTTTCCTGATTGTGCGTCCAAGGCCTGTTCTTCTCCTGGCCAGCCTGGGACCCTGAGCAGATTGATGACCTCTCTCTAGGGGGGGTCTTTGTGATTCTTACTGAGCTGTGATGACCACCGGACGCTGGTCCCAGGGGACGCCACAGAAGGTGCTCAGGGACTGTGGGTGGCCTCTCCCCAGGCCGCATTCCGTCCTGACCTCCTGCAGTCTGGCCTCTCTGCATCTGGGTGGAGACACCTGGATCACTGATGGTCTGTTTCTGTTTTGGTTTTCTTTTCTTTCTTTCTTTTTTTTTTTTTTTTTTTGTTATTCTTTTAAAATATGCATGGCAGTAGACTGTATATTGACATTTTATATTACACGGAGTGTGACTTCTCGTTCTGGTGGCTGTACCTGATGTGGAGTTACACTGGTCACGTAGTCATGTATGAACAGAGGAAAGTGATTCATTCTACTGTTGTTCCCATCCCTCCCCACCACTTCCCCCTGTCCTCTGTTTTGGTTTTCTTTTAAAATTTTCAAAAAGGTAAAGTAGCTCCCGTCATGAATGGCTTGAACCCACCATGCCAGGTCAACCAGGGTTAACACTTATGTTTGCTTCTGCAAAATAAACAGTGCCGCAGATCAAGTTGGAAGTCCATTTGGTCCCCTTCCCAGAGGACCCAGATCCTGTGTTTCTAGGCCGTGTTCACATATCATTGGTATATTTCTACCTCTTGTGTAGCACATTCCCCCCGTCGCACAGTGCCCGTGTTCTGTGTTCTGCTTGCTCCTTGTTGGGCCTCGGGCACCTCTCCATACTGGTGCAGTCAGGTCCACGTGCCCGGCCCACTGCAGGCCTCGTGTTTGGCCTGGTCTGCCATGTCTCCACCAGGACACTTGGGAAATGACTAACCCCAACCCCTAGAGTTTGCACCTGTGGTAGCTTTTAAATTCCATGTGACAGTTTCCCCGGGGAGATCTGTCTGTACTTTCCCGGCTCCTGGCACAAACCTGACCTGTAATCATGGCTCAGTTCATGCCCCCCAAAATGGGGCAGAGCTGCTGCTAGCCCTTCCGGAGTGGGTGTGCTCTGTCTCTCATATCCTCCCGTCTTCCCCTGTGGTGTGGATTCCTCCCAGAATCCTTATTTGAACCTGCCTCTTGTCCTCCTGACAAACATCCGTGTTTGTTCAGCTTCTTGCTGGAGGCTTCCTGGGTGCCTAGCAGGAGTGGACGCCGCCTCTGCTCTCTGTGTGCTGGCTTGCATCCTCCTGCTGCGGTCTCTTCCTTGTTCCTGCTTCCCACTCTGACTTTTGTGTTCTTACCCTGCTCCCTTAGAGTGGACCTGGGACTTAGATCAGGTGGCATCGGGATCTCCCGGTTTCCCCGAGCAGTTTCAGGACACAGACAGCGTCCCTGATGGCTACCTGTCTTTGCCACCCACTAGGTGGACTTTCACTGCTGGATGTGCGGGAAGAACTGTAACAGTGAGAAGCAGTGGCAGGGCCACATCTCTTCAGAGAAGCACAAAGAGAAGGTTTTCCACACTGAAGATGACCAGTACTGCTGGCAGCATCGCTTCCCCACAGGGTGTTTTAGTATTTGTGAGAGGTATGTAGGTCTGGACAGTTTTCCCTGTGGACGTTGCTGAACTCCTACAACTTCATGGAGATTATCAGGGGACAGAGTGTCTGGTATGGCAGATACCCTCGCACCTGCTAAGGATATGTGCTACCAGTGAGCTACACCAGACCCAGTTAGAAGCTTAAGCCTAGGAAAATGAATCTTATGGGCATGTTTTCTGTAGAGAAATTAGTACTTTAAACTATTTAGATGTATTCAATGAAAAGTACAGATTTGGGCTGGGGGTGGAGCTCGAGTACGGGAGGCCCTGGCTTCCCGGCCAGTGGTCAGGTGCATACTTCGCAGGCCCACACCCTGGGCTCAACACCCAGCACCAGAATAAGTAAACAAAAAGATTCCTGAGAGTTACATGCAATTCATAAAGCTAGTGGAGTTTCTATCTCCATGAATGTGGCCTGGTTTTCCTAAATGCCTGTGAGCCTTACCGAGCTGCCTCGTCCTCCCAGGTATATGAATGGCACCTGCACAGAAGGCAGCAGCTGTAAATTTGCTCATGGAAATGCTGAACTTCAAGAGTGGGAAGAAAGAAGAAACGCCCTCAAGATGAAGCTCAACAAAGCAAGAAAAGATCACTTAATTGCCCCAAATGATAATGACTTTGGAAAATATAGTTTTTTGTTTAAAGATTTAAACTAATATGCTGGCTTTTATGTAACCTAATCAGAGCATTGACCAGAAAAATTGAAAGTGTTCTGAGGCACATAGCAGAGGAGCTGCAGATTTTCTGCTTGTATTGGCGTGTATCGTTCCTCCTGAGCAGCAACCCACAGTAGGTAGGAAAACGGGCTGTTTAACAGGTCCGGCCAGGCTCTCACGGAGCCATTGGCATCAAATGGCGAAGTGACTGCTACCCGGGTGCCCTCTGTTGAACAGACTTTTGGATGAAGTGTGTTGGGAAGAGGATAAGGTTATGTCTAGGACGATTCTTTGAGTTGGTCCTGCAGATAAGAACCGTGACGGTAAGAGAATAAACACTGGTACTGGGATCAGAATACATGATGAATGAAGTTCTTTACATGTTTTAGCGGAATGAATTTGTTTAATATAATAAAGTTTGCTACTTATCTGTATGTAGGTTGCTAAAAAGGATTTTCTTAACTCAGATTTTAAGCCAAATAACCATTTAACACTAGTATATGTTAAATGGGGTATTTTTCTGTATTTGTATGTTTCACTATAATAAGGGAAGTGAGGATCATGTGCATCAAGACTATTTTGAAAAATAATCAGTTGAATCAAATTTTATTTCTTGGTCTTTTGCTGTTTAAATGATGACTTTGAAAGACTAAACTTGTACTGTTGGTATCGTGTAGTGTATGGACCAATATTGCCTGTAATAAAAAATTTTATATATAGATGACCTTTTCTTTTTTTCTTGGTGTGGTTCTTTCCCCACAAAGAATTGTTGAAACTGGGTATCAAAATCACAAGTTGGTTTAAAAAAGATATTTTAACTTAAGCAGTGAGTGACAGATTGCCACTTGGAGGCAGCTTTTCACATATACCCTCTTCTCCTCCGAGTCGGGCTGTAGCTTCTGGTGTGACCCTGGGGGGCTGTGCTGTTTGTTCAGGGGAGTTACTTAGCATGGAGGACGGCGACCAGCTGGTGGGAGTCCACAGAGCACCCTCGACAGGCCCTGGCATTGCTGAAAGGGACCACTGAGGGCTTGGGCCCAGGGGGCTGCCAGGGAACAGAAGCAACTGCACTGGCCTAACGGGGAGCAGGACAGCGGGCCAGGGAGAAGAGCGTGGCGGGGCCGGGGGCAGGCGGCCACGGGAAGGGCCAGCTGAGGACTTGAAAGGCAGGGTCTGTGGTGGACGAGCCCTTGAACCCCTCAGGCAGAATGACTTCCTCATGACAACCTGAAGGTGGGCTGCTGGGAAGCGGAAGAGAGGCTTGGGCCCGCTTCCGGGGGGTGAGCAGGAGGGTAGAAGGGGGGCACTGCGCAAAACCAACAGCTCAGAGTAGGAGGGGTCCCCGAGTCCCCCGGAGGGTGTCGGGAGGGCCTCTGGTTTCCCTGTGTGGGAAGGCCCTGGAGACCAGTTCTGGGTTTATTTAGTTATTTATTTAGAAATTTTCTTTATTTTTTTTTTTTTTATGTGGTGCTGAGGGTTGAACCCAAGGCCTCCCGGGTGAGGGGCAAGCACTCTGCCACCGAGCTACAACTCCAGCCCCTATTTATTTATTTTTTAACTGTAGATGGACACCATACCTTTATTTATTTTTATGTAGTGTTGAGGATAGAACCCAGTGCCTCATGTGGGAGCACTCTACCACTGAGCCACAACCCCAGCCCAAGTCTGGATTTTTACTTCTTCTGCACGTATGTATATGTTTTTGTGGTGGTGGGACGGAACCCAGGGCCTGGTGCATGCGAGGCAAGCGCTCTACCACTGGGCTATACCCCCAGCCTGTTTTTTTAAGAGATGGTCTCACTATGTTGTCAAGGCTGGCCTCAAACTCTCAGGCTCAAGCCATCCTGCCTCAACCTTCTGAGTAACTGGTCCTATCCGTGGGCACCACTGCTACTTCACAAATGCTTTAGAAGCAATCTTACCTACCAAATCCATAATCTGTTAGAACAGAGCGCTGATCATGATTCTGCTCAGTCTCCCTAGTCTGATGGCCTTCAGTGCATTTTTTTTCCTTTATGCTTTCTCCCAAACTCCTTTTGGACTTTTTAATAATAATAATAGTAATAATAGTAACAATAGTAATAATAATAAATGTAGAAAACAGAGAATAGGAGATCTTAAAAGGTTGCCTCCGGTGCTGTTTCAGTTGAAAGATGAACATCGGTCGCTCTGACCTTGGGAATCCACAGAAGTGAAGTCCGACAGGTGGTGCAGACTTTTCCTCCCCTACTCCCCCTGGTCGGTCTGTGCCCAGCTCTCCACCCTCTCAGCAGTTCTCTGTGCTCAGAACCATTCTTTCATGAATCCCACTTCTGCCTGAATCAGCCAGTTTCACGCTCTGATTTGCAGCGAAGATCACTGCTGTCACAGCCTCGGTCTCAGCATTCTGTGGGAGATCTCACCCCCATCCTTCAAGTGTATGGCTCATTGTGCAAAGAAGGTGGCCTGAGGAAAAGGAAAAGTGGGAGAGTCAAACTTCCAACTCCATGATGCTGTCGGTACAGTAATTATGTGTCTACTTGGACGCGCTGTCTCCATGGGGGGTGTGTTGTAACAGCAAATTATTCTTTCTTGGAGGGTACTGGGTATTGAACTTGGGGGCCACTCGACCACTGAGCCACATCCCCAGCCCTATTTTGTGTTTTATTTAGAGTCAGGGTCTCACTGAGTTGTTTAGTACCTCACTTTTTGCTGAGGCTGGCTTTGAACTCAGGATCCTCTTGTCTCAGCCTCCCAAATTACAGGCATTCTCCACTGCACCCAGCTCAAATTATTCTTAAGATAAAACATACTTCACCATTTTTTAAGTATACAATTTAGAGATTTAATTTAAAAGTATATTCACGGGCTGAGGTTGTGGCTCAGTTGTAGAACACTTGCCTAGCATGTGTGAGACACTGGGTTCGAGTCTCAGCACTGCATATACATAAATAAAATAAAAATCCATTGACAACTAAAAAAATATTTTAAAAAAGTATATTCATGGTTCCCTGTCCCTCCCCCCCCCAAAAAAAGTATATTCATGAGTTGGGGTTGTCGCTCGGTGGTAGGGTGGTAGAGCACTTGCCTAGCACGTGTGAGGCACTTGGCACCACATAAAAAAATAAAGTTTTTAAGAGAAGTATATTCGTAATGTTGTGCTAAAATCACCATAACCTATTTTAGAATGTTTTCATTGCCTCCCGCCCCGTCTCAGGCTGTGGCAGCCACTGACTTGCTTTCTGTCTCTGGAGTCTCCTGCATATTTCACATAAATGGAGTCAAATGTGTTCTTTCACGACTGGCTTCTACCATTTAGCACATTTTCAAGGTTCACTGTTTCTTCGTATGTATGAGTACATCATTCCATGGTTAAAAAGCCACTCCATTGTATATGGATAGACCACATTTTGTTTATCCATTCATTAGCCGGAGGTGTGAACTGTTTCCACTTTTTGGATATTGTGAATATTCACATTGTTGTAAGTTCTTGTGTCCCCATAGAATTTTGTAAGCTGAGCTGGGTATGGTGGCAGATGCCTGTAATTCCAGGTACTTGAGAGGCTGAGGCAGAAGGACTACAAATTCAGTGCCAGACTGGACACTTGGTGAGACCCTGTCTCAAAAATAAGAGGGCTGGAGATGTAGCTTATTGGCATAGCGCTTGCCTGGCAGGTATCAGGCCCTGGATTCAATCCCCAGGGGAAAAAATTCTATTGTCTGTAATGAAGAGAGGCTGCAGGGGAATCCTCCCTGTTCTCAGGGACTCCTCCCTCTGCCTACTACTCCCCCAGGGTCTGAGGTGTCCTGGGTAGGCAGGCTGCACTCCATCACCCTCATCTTTCCTGGGGCCACCTACCCTACCTGGGCTTTTTGAATAGTCTTTGATGTTGTGACCAAGTTTCAGGGAGCTGCCTCAATGAAATACTGAAGGAGGGCCCATTTCCTGGGCAGCTGGTGTACCCTGCAAACTTGAGCTGTCTGAGGAGATTAGAATCCAGGCTTCTTAGGAGTATTTGTTGCAAGGAACAAATGCAAATCTGTAGAAAGCCCATTCTGGGATCATGATACAAAGTCTCCATGAAACAGATCAGGACCCAGGCAGAGGGCTGGGCTTCCCTCCTACATTCCTGCTGTCCTGGACCATGTTAGGTACGCCCTGTTTTGTAAGTAAATGCTTGGAAGCTTTAAAACTGAATGGTCATTATTTCTCTCTAGTTTTTAGAAAGAATTGGTATCTACGGAAATATATTTCTCCCACCCTTTCCCAAATCCCACCAACTTGATCACTGAACGGCCAAGAAAGCTCAGATGCTTGCTAATGTGGACAAGTTAGTGCCACTTGACCCCAATGACTTATTCTGAAATTATAATTGTTTCAGAAGAACATTCTGGTTTCAGAGCAGCAGCTTAGGTTCTCAGAGAAGAGGAAAGGGCACACCCTTTTATTAATTCAGGGTGTTTCCTGGTCCTTAAGACATTAGCCTGATTGTGTGTTCACAAGGAATTACAAGTCTCATGATATAAACCACGGGCAACAAAAGCACTTTGAACCTTATCAAGGCCTGTACAAATGCCAGATGGCTTATGGAACATAGAGCAGATTCTGTTCCAGCAACCTGCAGTCAATGAGGCCCAGCAAGGAGACCATACTGGTTTTCTTTAGTAATATGCCACATAATGCAAATCTACAGAAAGAGAAATCAAGAGCACTAGAAATGGCAAATGTGAAGATTAATGAACTCCTCCAAAACTATATTCTTTCCTCTAAAGTTTTAAGAACAAGATTATATAAGAACAATATAACAGGATATGGTTGAGTTGTAACATATAGACAAAGTTAATAAGGGCCACAAAGGAGAGAGGAGTGGCTGGAGCTATACTGGGGCAGTTTCTCTATCTTTCTGGAATTGTTAGTATAAATATGAAGTAGATACTGAAATATGTATACTATAATACTTAGCATCTGCTAAGTATAAAATTTAAAAATTAAAAATCATTAAAGGAATGAGTGGTATGCTAGAAAACAGCTATTAAAACAGTAAAGAAGAGACAAGACAGGCAAAGAGGAAAACAAATAACAAAATAACAGGTGTAAATGAGCCACCAACACCTGGGGCCTGGAAACTGGGCCCTGGTGGTTGACCATTAAATGTCTGGTCCATCTAGCAAGAATTCACTTTACATCTGTGGAAATGGAACGGGACAAGGCGTGACAGGATTTGCATTGAGGAATACAGCTGACCTGTGAAAGGTGTGTGTGGGGGGGCACACACCTTTTTTGCATAACATCATGCTGCCTTAATTCCCTCAGATTTTCTTTGATTAGCTATTGAATAATAATATTTATTAGTTATTGATATTGGGGGCCACGTCTTGATCAGAGGCCTCTGCAGCTGCATAATCATGTATACTTACCCCCAGTGTACTGTCCCTCCTCCTCAAGGCAAAGTTTCTTCCTGCCATTCTCAAATCATGTGTCATCCCTTTCCAACTTGAATTTTTTAATTCACAGATCTTACTTAGAAAAGATCTAACAGCTGAGTACAGTGGTACATGCCTGTAATTCCAGTTCGTCAGAGAAGGCTGAGGCAGGAGAATTGCCAAGTTTGAGGACAACCTGGGCAAAATAAAACAAAAAGGTCTGTACATTTAGCTCAGTGCTTGCCTCGCCTGTGCAAGGCCCCAGGATTCAGTCCCCAGGATCTAACATGCAGAGTCAGAGAACACATATTACTGAACACCACAAGTGCTGAGCTTATCTAGTGGGACCAGCACTCAAAACACGGTCTAGAGAGAACAATCCACCTGCTATAATCCCCAAGCCCTCAGAAGCCTGAGATTGTTGGGCTTCGCTGGCTTCCTTAAACTAGTTCCTACTAAAACTTATATGTGTGTCCATAAAAAGAGCGACCTAGACATTGGGGGCACAGAGTGGGTTGCTGGAGTGGCTTCTCAGTCAGGACGACCTTTGAGTCTGATTTCTCACCTACTAGCTTTGTGACCTCGGTCAAGTGACTTTTCCAAGCTTTGGCTTTCCCATCTGGAAGGTGATACAGGGAGAGGGCTTGGGCACGCAGGAGGGAATGGCGGCACGGTGGCTGGAGGCGGGAAACACCAGTAACCTAAGATGTACTGAGGACCACGATGCCTGGCACCTCCACGTGCTCTTGAGAGCAGGAGGGCTATCAGCCCCATTTTACAGATGTGCAAGTCGAGGTGCAGAAGCTGAGACCGCTCTCATCTCACCCTGAGTCCCTCTCGCCTCGGCACGAATAAAGGAATGGCACCGAGTCTTCCAAGTTTTTAGTGAGACTAGTGGACCCGAACGCTGTATCGTCAGGGCTCTGAAAACCCAGCGTGCCCAGCGGAACTGCCTGCGGGACGACGACTGCACACGCGCCGCCGGCTCAAACAGGCAGCCGACTCCCCGGCAGGGGGTGGAGCCAGAGACGCAAGCGGAAGGCAGCGCCCGCGCAGACTCCGTGGGCGGGGAGACGGGGCCCGTGAGATGATGACGGGGCCTTTAGCGGCGCGCGCAGACTCTGTGGGTACGAGGGGGCGTGGCCCAAGGGAGCGGGATGGCCGGGAGGAGCCCGGTTTCGCGCAGACTCCGTCAGAAGGGGCGGAGCCGCGGGGCGGAGCGCCGCCGCGGCGCGGCTGACGTGGAGGCCCGGGGTTAGCGGGCGCGGCCGGCTGCGGGGTGGGGGAGCGGCGGGCCGGGCCGGGCCCCGGGCCCGAGGCGGCGGCTGTGGCAGCGGTATAAAGCCGGCGACTGGGAGCATGTAATGTCGGAATGCGGAGGCCGCGGCGGCGGCAGCAGCAGCAGCAGCGACGACGCCGAGGACGAGGGTGGCGGCGGCGGCGGCCCCGCGGGCTCCGGCTCCCCTGGCCCGGCCCCGGCCGAAGCGTCCTCGGCGGGCCGGCTCCGCCGCGGGCTGCGCAGCGCCTCCCTCATGGCGCGCCAGCGGCCAGAGCTGCTCTGCGGGGCCGTGGCGCTCGGCTGCGCGCTGCTCCTCGCCCTCAAGTTCACCTGCAGGTGAGGCGGCCGGGCCCCCGGGGCCGCGGCCAGCGCCCCTCGGCCGGGTGGGTCGGCGGTGCCCGGCCGGCTCAGGGCCTCCGGGGTCGGGTCGTAGCGGCTTCATCTGGGGAAGCCGGTCCTGACCTTGCCTGGAGCCTCGGATTTGACCCTGCCAGGCCTGCGGCCACGGGCTCCCCTCTGCCCGTGCCCGGCCAGCCACATGGTGGGATTTCCGGGAGCTGCCTGGAGCCCCTCCGTCCCGTTCCAGTACCGGGGGAGGTGGGCCGTGTTTCTGAGCTGCTCCTGCTTTTAGGGTCTCTGAGGGTGCGCCTGTCACTTCCGCTAGGGATATAAGACCCTCGTTTCTCACCTGCTGCATTTCCCTCCTGCAGTCAGAGGAGTCGTTCTCAGCCTTTGAGAGCCCCAGGCCCTTGGGAATCGAGGCCCTCTTTGGTGTCATGGTTATTTATCGGTTCCCAGTCGGCCCAGCTCTCCGTAAGTCAGCAGTGAAGGCAAACCCCCTGCCCCTCTTAAGTGGCTATTCCGGTGGATGGGACAGTCGATAAACAAGGAAACAATTTTAAAGAGCTTCAAGAAGTGCTGTGTAGAGAATAGAGAGGAGGAGAGTGCGACAGAAATGCCTTCTTAAGGAATCTGAGGCTCACCAGAAGAGGAAGAGCTGAGGGAAGAGTGCCCAAGGTAAAGGAAGCAGCAAATACAGTTTTGAGGCTGGACAAGCTTGTTTTTTTCCTAGGGTGGGGGGAGGATAGTGAGAGGGAGGAATGAAAGTTAATGTGCCTCTTCTCAGGGAAGTACAGAGATACAAAATTTATATTTCAGCTGTACTCTGGCCTCCCAGTTCCACAGTGTATCTAAAACCTCTTGCTGCTGATAATATCCTTTTGGCATTTCAGCCAAGAGGAGGATTTCAACAGCAGACTTTTTTTTTTTTTTTTCAAGTTTATATGGCCCCTGTTGCCAAGAAGATATCACAGGATTAGATGTTTTAGTGGAAAAATATAACAAATTTGAATAACTGTCATAGAGCATTTGCCATGTGGCAGATACTGTACTACAATCAGGGTTTTTCCATCTCAGCACCATTGCAGGCAGTTTGGGGCCAGGTTATTCTTTGTTGCAAGGGGCTGTCCCGCGCATTCAAGAAGGTTTGTCTTTGGCCTATACCCACTAGGTGCTGGTAGCACATACCCCTAGATGTAATAACTAAAAATGTCTCCAGACATTATTAGATGTCTCCTAGTGAACAGAAGTACCTGCTTGGTAACTAGTGTCCATATGAATGCATTTATTCATTTAATGTGTAATTGAGAGCATAGCATATAGCTTATTTAAATATTACAATCCCCAAAGAGACTGTTATCTTTCCCAATTTATAGGTGAAAGAGTCAAGCCATGGTCATTATAAAACCTACCTGAAATCAAACCCATCTATTAAATGACTGAACTGGATTTGAATTCTTTAGAGTCTTAACCTTGCTCTTTATCATTGTCATCCCCCAAAGAAAATATACTAAAGTATTTTACAAGGTAGAATTTTGCAAGTGGCATTTGGGTTCATATTAGGAAGAAAGGTCCCTCTTCCAAAGGTGTGAAGTTTCTTGTGTTTTTTTGTTTTTTGATTTTTTGTACTGGGGGTTGAACTCAGGGCCACTCAACCACTGAACCACATCCCCAGCCCTATTTTTAATTTTATTTAGAGACAGGGTCTCACTGAGTTGCCTAGTGTCTCGCCATTGCTGAGGCTGGCTTTGAACTCGTGATCCTCCTGCCTCATCCTCCCAAGCTGATGGGATTACAGGCGTGTGTCACTGCACCTGGCTATTTTTTTTTTTCTTTTCTTTTTGACTTCAGTCTGTCTAGTTGTAGAAATGATGCTTTGTGTTTGTTCTGAGACAACATGGCTTGATAAGAAAGTTCTTTGAGATTTCAGGAAGAAGGAAGAGTATAAATCCAGTTTCTAGAGCTAACAATGAATTCTGACCTGCGTCTGGTAATGACAGTGAGCTTGTCAATGAGTTTGTTTATTTGTCTTCTTTCTGTGCTACTGGCAAATTTGGCAATCTGTTGATAGACTCAGATTATTTTTTTCCATCTTTTTTGATGGAATGGTGTCATGTTACTATTTTATTGCCACACAACTGACTCTAGCATTTATGTCCCCTTTTCTTATTTTAAGATCTTTAATAAGGACAGAGGCTTAAGGGAGAATAAATGGAGTCTTTTGGGATCTTTAAAAATTTTTGTTATTATTTAATTATTCCTAGTAGCTCCAGACCTGAAATAAATGACTGCTCTCTTTAGTGTCTATTACTTAGCTGAGTTCAAACTAGATAGTGGAAGGAAAAAAAAAGTTGATTTTAGGTTGAGCCACAGCTAATAATTGTGCATCCCTGAGTATTTAATCTACCTGCATTTCTGTGCAATAAATCTCCATGACTTTATCCTGCTTGCTTTTACCTTGATTTGGAGGGTTGTTACTTCAAAGCTGCCTCTATTCTCCTTTGAAGGAGTTGTAGGGTATAAGTTTCATGTAAAACTTGGGTTTGCAGCGAGGCTTGGTGGTGCACACCTGTATCCCAGTGATTTGGGAGGATGAGGCAGGAGGATCACAAGTTCTAGGCAAGCGTGGCAATTTAGCAAGACCCTAAGCAACTTAGTGAGACCCTGTTTCAAAAAAAGGGTGTGTGTGGCTGGGGGTGAAATGCAGTGGTAAAGCACCCCTGGGTTTAATCCCCAGTTCCCACCACCAAAAAAAAAAATTGTATTTGCAATGGGCCTTTCTTGTTTACAACCAACTCTTCAAGTTTTTTTGCACCTGAAATATTTCAGAGCTGTGAGACATCTTGGATCTGGGTTTGTTTTTGTTTTTTTTTTTCCCCCCAGAAAAGGAAACAAATTCAAGAGATAAATGGAAACTCATGAATGTTTTTGTTTGTTTGTTTGTTTTTGTATTGAGGATTGAATCCAGGGGTGCTCAATCACTGAGCCACATCCCCAGCCCTTTTTTATATTTCTATATATATATATATATATATATATATATATATATATATATATATAATTTTTTTTTTTTTTTTAAGAGACAGGTCTCACTGAGTTGCTGAGTGCCCCGCTAAATTGCTGAGGCTGGCTTTGAACTTGAATCCTCCTGCTTTAGCCTTCCACGCCACTGGGATGACAGGCGTGGGCCACGGCCCTCAGTTTTATTAATGTTTCTGATAGAGCAGAGGCAAGTGTTTCTCTTTCCTGGCTAGTTTTTTTCTCTCTCTCTTTCTCTTTTTGCATTACTTGATATTAAACCAAGGGCCTTGCACATGCTAGGGAAGTGCTCTATTACTGAGCCACACATACTGCAGCCATTTTTATTTCATTTTCAGACAGGATCTCACCAGGTTGTGCAGGGTGTCCTTGAATTTATGACCCTCCTGCCTCATCCTCCCAGGTAGCTGAGATTACAGGCATGTACCACCACACCTGGCTAATGTTTGTTTTTTGATTGGTCTTGTATTTTATCTGGCTTGTTTACTTTAGGAACTCCTCTGAACCTGCAGAGCAAAAGTACTAACTTGTGATTCTCTTTTCTTGAGCTGTCAGATACCTATAATTTCCCACAGATTGCATTATTTCACACCTAAGATGCAATTTAAATGGTTAAAAAAAATATTGCTCCATATACCAGGACTTTGGATCTCTGCAGAATGTGTCAGTTTTCCCCATGCAACCTGTCCCACTTCTTTGCATGGCTGTCTTGTCACTCAGTTTTCACATTAGTTGGTACTACTCTGTCTACCACCCTATAGGTGGAGCCACTGTTTTCCTGTTACATCACCACATTATATTCTCTACACAGCAGTGACAATTTTGTGTATTTTATTGTTAGTTGTTTGCATGTTTTGTGACTTGCCATCTTCCTCTGCTAGAAAGTTAGGTATCTGTGTCTGAAGGACCATGTCTGAAATGCAATAACAGTTGCTAAATTGACATTTTAAAAATGTCATATAAGGGACTGGAGTTGTGGCTCAGCAGTAGAGCACTCGTCTAGCATAAGCGAGGCCCTGGGTTCGATCCTCAGCACTATATAAAAATAAATTAATTAATTAAAGATATTGTATCCAACTATGACTAAAACATAAGTGTTAAAAAAAAAAAAAGTCATGTAAGGAGACTGGGGTTGTGGCTCAGTGGTAGAGCGCTTGCCTCCCATGTGTGGGGCCTTGGGTTTGATCCTCAGCATCCCATATAAATAAAAAAAAAAAGTATTGTGTTCAACTATGACTAAACAATAATTTTTAAAAATGTCATTGAGTGAATTTTTGAGATTATGGGCATATTCTATATAGACTGAAGGCTCTATAGAGACTGCAGGTTACAATGTCATTCAAATAGGAA